TGGGGCTGGGGTAGGATGGGGCTAAGATAGGATGGGGCAGGATGGGGCTAAGATAGGATGGGGCCGGGTGGGATGGGGTTGGGATGGGGCCAGAGTGGGATGGGGCCACGGTGAAGGGGACCACCCCGGCTGTGGGATGCAGCAGGAAACGCGTCCTGCCTGGACGGAGGCTGCGCGATGCCTCCGGGTGTATTTCGGCGTGCTTGTCCCTGCGGGCTAGGGCCGGGGAGGGCTCTGGGAGGACGGAGCGCAGCCCATCGCATTCCCAGCGCCGCTGTTATTTTAACAATACCCTGCTGGCCTGCATGCCGGGGCTAATTTTAACCCTGGAGCCACGCCAAGCCGGCCCTAACTTTCCTTGCTGTGATTTATCCCAGCCGTTTCCCTTCGAAAACAAGGCCCCCGTGCCAGCCCCGCTGTCTCCCCAGGCAGCGGCACGCCGCCATGGGTCCTGCCCCACCGGGCAGGGCAAAGCGGGGCAGGATTTGCCCCTCGGCGGGTTATTCGGAGAGCGGGAGGGCGGCCGGTGCCAGGCCCCCCTGGGCGCTCAGCCCCCCGCCGCCCACAGCATGGGGATTTTCGGAAGCTGGCTGGAAGCCGGGGGATGCTCGAATGCAGAGACTTCCCCGGGATCCTGGAGCGGCTCCGTTTTCCACAGACATCTCTGGGAAGGAGGTGGGTGTTTTTTTCTACTGACATTTTTATTGAAAACGCTGTGGGGCGCTTTATTTTTTGCCTTTTTTTTTTCTCCCTTTTCCCAGTCAACAGCCATGCTCGAGAAAGAGATTTCCCTTCGCCTCTGTGCGTCTATTTAAAAACTGATTGGTAAAAATGCTGCAGAAACGTTTGCGAAAAATGGAAAATATTGAAAATATCTCGTGACAAAAAAAAAGAAATCATTCTCTTCCAAATAAAGATCTTTCTCTTCTCTTTTTTCCATCAGAAAAGCTTTTAGTGTGCAAAATGTCGACAGCTTTGATTTCTTCTCCCAGCGGGCTGGGATGCACCCACCTCTCTGCTCCAGGAGGATGGGTTTTCAGAAAGCTAAAAATCACTGGGCAGAGATACCAGCACCGTTACCTCCACGTCCGTCTCTCTTGTGACCCCCCCCTGCGTCCCCGCCAGACCCCCGGCGGGGGGGCAGGGAAAGAGGTGGCACGGCCAGCGGCCACCCCAGCCCTTCCCCGCAGGACCGCAGCCTGCCCGCCCGGGAAGCGGGAAGAAAGCCCAAAGGTATTTGGTCACTAGCATCATGAGTTCCCGTTCGTTCTCGAGGTCCCCAGGGAAAGAGGTGGCACGGCCAGCCCGCGGGCGAGCCCTTCCCCGCAGGACCGCAGCCTGCCCGCCCGGGAAGGGGGAAGAAAGCCCAAAGGTATTTGGTCACTAGCATCATGAGTTCCCGTTCGTTCTCAGCCCATCACAAACAGAGGAGGTCTGCAAGGCCGCGGATAGAGAAGTGCGTGATTTCGGCAGGGCAGCAAGCGGAGGCGTTAGAGGTTGTCGTACATGCGTAACGTCTTCTCCAGCTGCTGGCTGACGCGCTGGTAGAAGACGATCTGCTGCTTTAAGTAGGACTGCATCATCCTCTTGAAGTCGGCCACGCGCCGCTCGTGGAAGTGGTTCATCTCAGCTTGCAGGGCGAAGCCCACCACGCGGCAGCGCTTGCGGATCCCGTCTGCCTCCTCCTGGTCCATCCGGCCCTCGTCGCTCATCCGCTGGCTCTCCTTCACCTTCGCGAAGGCGCCTGGCGAGGCAGGGGGAAGGGTGAGAGGCTGATGGATCTGTGCGTCCCTCCGTCCCCCTTCCCCTGGCACAGGCATCCCCGGGCAGCACCGTTGGGTCCCATCGTCCTCCGTCCCGGGGCACCAGCCTGGCCCCACGGCCGGAGGTGCAGTGCTGCCCCACGTTAGTAAGGGAGGGATCTGCGCACTCCCGGGCTGTCATCTCCCTGTGCCCATCAATCCCCATCCCTCCCCTGCAGGCAGGGGAAGACCAGGAGCCTTTTCCCTCTGGACTCTGACCTCCCCAAGTCCTTTTCCGCCCCATCCCTGGGCAGTCAGCCTCATATTTAGAGGGAGGTTTGGGGGTCTGGGCTGCTGGAGGGGTGTGACTCAAGGCTCGGGGTGCATAGCTAACGTGGGGCAGCCAAGCGTCCCGGCCAAGCCTGCCCTGCAAATGTTCGATGTCACCCCATGGATGGGGGTCAGAGCAGCCCTGGGAGACCCGAGACCGGGAGGCGGTGAATCAGGGTGCGGGAGGGGCATGCGGTGCCGGCTGGAGCTCAGCTGGGAAAGCATCTCCCTCTCCCAGAGGCGGCTGATGCTCTGACACCAGTTTTTCCCCCTCCTTCCACTTATTTTTACAGCTCGGTTTCGAAAGAATCCTGCCTGGCTCCAGCCCTGCATTCCTCCCCCCTCATTAGCACAGAGGCTGTTTGCCTGAAAACAGGATCTGGCCCGCAGCTCGCCGGGCTTTTTTCCCTTCTCCCTGACCCTTGCCGGGAGCGCCGGACCCGGGGTTATGGTGCTCCCGCTGCGCCAGCCCTGCTCTCAGCGGAGAGGAGGAGGAGGAAGAAGCAAAGGTTGGAGGCCAAATCCTGCCTTCCGCTCTGCCCACGCGGCCTCGCTTCCGGACGGGATCCAGCCCCTCTTCACCCGCCGCTGTAAACAACGCGGGGAGGGAAAGGCAAGGAAGCGGCCAGGGCTGGATCGCATCCTCCCCTTCCCCTTTTGCCTTCCCAGCCTCCCCCAGGGATGCGGAGCGATGCACGGACACCCCTGGATGCTCAGACACAGACAGCCCTGGCTTCACCCCGGGGAAAACTCCCTGCCCACCAAAATCCGAGGACGCCGGCGCAGGCGTCCCCTCCCCGCTGCAGGCAGCCGGGCCGGGAGGAGTGCGTGGACTTTGGCCCCGCTCCCACACCTGGCTCCCCGTCTGCGTCACACCCCGCTGCCTGGGTGCAAAGGGACACCGAGCCCTGCCTGCCCCCTGCCCTCCCCAGAAAGGGCAAGGCAGACACCTCTCGGCCCCTCCCCTCCTTCCTGACCCCCCCCCCAATACCCAGGGGACCTGCAAGCACAAGGAGATGAGGGGATGCAGGGAGCCCCGATGCCCTGGGGGTGCTAAACCCACCCGTCCTGGGCTCGGAGGGGCAGGGACGTACTCTTGAAGAGTTTGACCCTGGTTGTCCCCAGAAGGTCCAGCGTGTCCCCCCTGGCCAGAGGAGTGCAGCGAGACTGGTGGGAAGAAGGGACGTGTCCATATCCCACCTGCCCTGCACAGCCCCCCCAGCCCCTTGTGACCGACCCAAGGCCGTGTCCCAGCCGTGTCCCAACCCCGGGGGGGGAGCAAGCTCGAGCATCCCTGCTGGCCACCCAACCGCTGCCTCAGCCGAGGAGGGAGGATGAGGAGGGACAAGCAGTGGTGGGTGGGGATGCAACGCAGCCCCATGCTCACAAGGTGCTGGGCAGGCCATCCTGGAGCCAACAGCAACGGTGTCGGCTCCTGCTCGCGGCACAGGGGGAGCGACGCCTGCGCTGACCCCCCCGGCCAGGGCTTTGGGCAGCAGTTATGGAGTCCACGGCATCACTTGAGGCAAAACCTGATCCTGGGCCCAACAGCCCCAGCAGCCTCTCCTGGGGTTGGGGTGACTGGGGAGCCGTGCCAGCAGGGACCATGCTGCCTCCCTGGGAGCCACAGGCAACGGTCCCCGTCCTCATCCCCGCCCTCGTCCCCATCCCCGTCCTCATCCCCATCACTGCACAGCACAGGATTTCCTCATTGCATCCCCATCCCGCTCCCCGTGCTGCTCCCACCCATGTGGGGCCATCACGCAGGAGAGGTCATCACCAGGGGAGAAGAAGCCACCCTTACCTTTCTGGAGGTGGATGATGTCTGGGAAGTTGGAGAGGAGCCCTTGGTACAAAGAGAGAGTGTCCAGCATGAGGAACAGGTCGTTCTTGGGCTGCTCGGCGAACATCTCCCCCACGGTCTCGTATGTCTTGCCCGTGTGGGAGATGGCGTTGTTGAGGGCGTCCGAGCTGTAGGGGGGGTCCATGTGGAAGGAGTGGCTGATGGCTTGGAAAGCATTGCCCAGCTTCTGGAACTCCTTCCGGAAGCCCCCCACGTGCTTGCGCACCAGCTCCGAGGCCACATTGGTCAGCTGGAGGACGCTGTCGTCCATCTTCTTGCTGAAAGCCTTGAAGGCGTCCACGCGGTCCTCCACGTCCTGCAGGTCCTGGTGCTCCGTGGGGATCTGGATGGTGAGGAGGAAGCTGGCGCCCACCATCTCGTCCTTCTCTGCCCGGCGTTTGCCCAGCTTCCACTGCTTCTCGTCGCGGCAGCAGAGGAAGTGCTGGAAGCCCTCATACTGGGAGAGGACGGGGTGGCTGGTCATATGGTCCATCCAGAGGATCAGCCGCCGCTTGCGCTTCTCGATGAAGTCCTCCTCGAAGCGCCCGGTGGCCTGCTTCTCGGGCAGATGGGGCACCGAGATGACCGTGAACTTGTGCAGGAGGCGGTTGTAGAGCCAGTCAAAGTGCTTGTACCGCCGGTAGACGGGTGAGTTGATGTTGCTGGGGGTCAGCTTGTAGGAGATGTAGCTCTTGATGCCCTTGAACTTGGTTTGCTTGGTCGGGTCCTCCACGGAGCAGATGAAGGGGTGGGGATTCGCCCTCCACTGGGGACCTTTGGAGCCCATCTCGATGCAGTACGCCTCGGCGATCTTGGACATCAGGGGCACGTCGCCCAGGATGAAGGCTTCCACCCCCGAGCGGACGAAGCAGGAGAAGCGGTTGAGGTTCCTCCCCACCACGCTGCCCCTCTTGGAGGAGCTCATGCTGTCCTGCCTCTCCAGCGCCGGCTTGGGACGGTAACCGGCGTGCTCATGGTGGCCGTACGCTGCCGGGTACTGCAGGTTGGGCGAAGGGTGCCCGTTGGTGCCCGGCGCGCTCCGGGGCTCCTCCACCACCGTGCAAGCATCGTCCCAGTCGTCCCAGTCGTCATCGTCGTCGTCCTCAAAACTGCCCTGGTAGGAGATGCTGGGGTTGGCGGGGGTTGTGTAGAAGGGGGAGTCGTGCCCGGGAGAGCCGGCCGGGCTGCCGGAGTAGTCCGTGTAGTTGGAGCTCGACCGGGAGCGGAGGATTTCAACGTAGGAGGCAGGGAAGAGGCCGGTCTCCCCGCGGCTGTTTTGGCCCTGTAACCACCCGTCCAGGGAGTTCTCGCTGAAGATGACGAGCTCCTCGTTCTCCTGGATGCTGATCTCCTCTTTGTTTTCGCTCTGGAAGTTGTAAAGCGCTCTGGCTTTCAACGCCATGGCCGGTCCCGGGAGGGGGGGACACGGCGTAACGCAATCCCCGCCGCCAAAAAAAAAACAACAACCCCCCCAGCGATACCGCAAGCTCGCTCGGCACCGGGGCCGCCCCGCACTGTGGGAAAAGGGTTGGCCGGTTTCTCAGGGAAATAAAAAAAAAGGTGGAGAAGAAATCCTCTACGAGGTGACGCCGAGGTCCGTATGTCCAAGTAACCCCCCCGATCCCGGCGCCCCGGTTAAAAACAACATTCCCCAGTCAAGCGAGCGGCATTTCCTTCGCTCCTACGGGATATAAACGCCGGCCGGACCAAGAGCCGGGCTCTGCCATGTCCACGCAGGTTTTATCTCGCTGGGACGCCGATCCCGCGGTTTCACTTTCCGTGAGGAAAAGATCCGGCTGCCAGCGAGGAAATAAATCCCAAACGACTTTTCTCGGGGTTCCTGTGGACACAACCCCCGAGTTTCCGCCCGCCGGCGGCTGCCAGTCGGTGGGTGCCGGGAAAGCGCCGGGAACCGACCCCAAACCCAGCCCAACCTCCCCGGTGATCCCGGCCCGGGGATTTTGCAATTCCTTTCCGGGCCGACCTTCCCGGGATTCGGTGGTTTGTTGTTGTTTTGGTTTTTTCCCCCCTGAAATCCGCAAATCTCACGCAG